AAAATTTATTAATTAATATAATTAATATTATTTATTATTATTAAAAAAATTAAAAGTTTTAATATTATAATTAATAATTATAATATTAAATAAAATTTAAATATTATTATAATTAATAAATATAATATTATATTATATAAAAAATTTAACGTTATTAAACTTAAAGTTATTAATATTTAAAATATTTTTTTTAAAATAATATTAAAATTATTTTTATATTTTTTAACGTTATATTATTAAAAATTACATTTAATTTTTTATTTCTTTTAAAAAAACATCGTATTTAAATTATATTTTTAATAAAAGTTTAATTAAAATATTAATTAAATTTAAAAAACTTATTAATATTATAAAACTTAAAAGTTTATAAGCTAAGAAATCTTTTTTTAATAAAAAACTTATCCTTTTTTAAGATATATAATAAAGCCATTATATGATAAACGATAAAAGTGGCGGCTACATAAAAGGCACGTGTGTTATATGCGAAAAATTAAATAAAATATTAAAATTAACGTTTAAGAATAATTTCTTTTTTTAAATTTTTAAGCTTTAATCTTAAATAATTATAAACTTATTATTTACTACCTGATTTTATTTATTTCATCCTTATAAATATAATTACGAAAATATAATTTTTTTTATTAAAAGCCGGGGAAATTAATAAAATATATATATATTTTAATTTAATTATATAATTATATATTTAAATTACGTTAATATAATAAATAATTTTTTTTTCGAAAATTTATAATTAATTTAAACTTAAAATAATTAATTATTATTTATAATATTATAAAATTTTTTTATTAAATTTAATATATTAAAATTAAATATAATAATTTAATTTTTTTAAAAATAATTATACGATTTCGTAATTATAAAAATATATTTTTTATTTTATATTATACCGAAATTATAAAACTTAAAAGTTTATAAATTAAGAAATTTTTTTATAATAAAAATTTCTTTTTAAAATATATAATAAAATTTTTATATAATAAATAATAAAAATAACGGTTATATAAAAAACACGTGTATTATATACGAAAAATT